ACTGCATGTCTGTCTGCACCTGTAAGAAAAGGCTTTTCACTCCACTAAATGTTTTATCCATTTACATGCAGTTAGCAACCTCTGACTACACAGGTGCCCTCAAGCCACATGGGATAAATTCTTGACAGCTTGCTAAAACACTGCTGGCAGAGCTTGTCTTTAAAATGAACAGCAAGAAAATTCAAATCCCCCTCACCCACTGCTGTCTCTGCTCTGACCTGGACAGCCCAGGCAGGTGGCTGGCAGTAGCCACAGAGCAAACAGAAAAGCAGTTTTAGTGCCAGAAATAATCTTTTTTATTACAGTCCAGAAAAGGTGTTTTAAATATGAAAACCACCCAGTGTATGTATGACTTGCTTCCATTAATATCTTGGGCTACATATGTCCACCTGTACCATAAAATCAATCAATCCATCATCCCATTGTGCCTCATCTGGCACAAATAACGCTGAAAAACTAATCACCCACATACAAACGGCTGGGTGGAAAATACCTGCAAGGAAAAAAGACATATGAAGCCTGAAGTCTTAAGCAGACAATGAGACTGTCAAGGCAGTCATTAAATGCATCCCTTCCTTCCCTCTGTGCCACTTCAGGAACCAGGCATTTCAAGGACAGCTAATCTGAATTATCTAATAGTTGCCTAAAACTACTCAAAGGGTATTTACCAAGAGAGTGGAGGCAAACTCTTCTCCATGATGCTACATGACATAACAAGCAGCAGCAGCAGTAACAGTCCTGGAAGGTTCAGGATAGCTATTAGAAAAAAAAGGGCCACTGGTAGGGTACTGCATGACCAGATCAGGCTGCTCATAGAGGCTGTGAAATTTCTGCCAGGTTTTCATCACCTGTCCGGAAAAAATCATGGCTGACCTGTTTCAGTGCTGGCTGCAGTCCTGCTTCTAGCAGGAGGCTGGACAAGATGACCTCCAGAGCTCCTTTCCAAGTAACACTGCATGACTCCTGGGCTCCCATCAGAACATCATTTACTTTCAGCTAAGAACAAGCACAAGTAAAGGCAGTGCCATGGCCAGAGTTTGTGAGGCAAAGACCTTCAGAACCAAAACCCTCCATTTTTTAAAATATCAGCATAGGTGTATTAATCTGCATCCTAACACAACAAAACGCTGCTGCTGCCATAAGCTGAATTTCTGGATGCAGAGGTACCACCCCCCGCTCTGCAAAACTGTAGCATAAGGTGGTACTTCTCAAAAACACCTGAAGTGAGCAGGAGGCTGCATTTATTGAAAACACCTAACAACAACTTGAATTTTCATTCTAACACAGTCAATTGCAAAGCTGCTGTCATTCTCCTAAATCCATTCAGATTTTTCACGTCAGATACAACAAAAACTGAAGTAACAAATAGAAAAATGGTAGCACCTTTAAGCAATCTCCACCCTTATAACACAGATTCCTCCTTTAAATTGGCCAATATTTTTGCCTTAGCCCTTTAAGCCTCCCAAGCTAAAAATTTTGTGCAGAATTCAATGCAAGTGACATGCCACAACTTTGAAGCTAGTGACAAAAAATGACTGCCATTTGAAATTATATCTTCCCTAAAGTCAAGTTACAAGACAGATGGACATAGATTAAATAACTCCTGTAATACTGAGAACAAATAGAGATGTACAGTCCATGTCATCCCCAGCACAGGGACTGTATGGCACATCCTCAGCTGATCACAAGCCTAGCTCTGTGTGTTCAAGTGAGCCACACAGATTTACTCCAGACAAAAATGAAGCCCAACCCAGACAACAATTTAGCTCTCTGCCAAACTGCCCCAGGAGTCTCATTTTACATAATTTCCATCTTAAATCACAGAATCATAGAGTGGCTTGGGTTGGGTTGGAAGAGACCTTAAAATTCACCTCATTCCACTTCCTGCTAGCCCTGTCCATCCTGGCCTTGGACACTCCCAGGGATGGGGCAGCCACAGCTTCTATGGAAACCTGTGCCAGGGCCTCACCACTCTCACAGTGAAGAATTTCTTCTATCCAATCTAAACCTGCCCTCTATCAACATAAAGTCATAAACCCTTGTCCTATCACTGCACGCCCTTGACAAAAGTCCATTCAGCTTGTGTCAGCATCACCTCATTAATCCCAGCCACGGGGCTTTGATTTCTGCCTGGCTGCTGCTGAAACGTGTCCTGGCACAGTCAGAGCTGCACGTCTAAGGCATCACACGTGCCTTCTGCAGTGCCTGCAGACAGTGCAGAGATCCTGCTCCAGAAACAGCCCCCAGTGCTCGGCACAGGGACTGCACCATCTGTCACTCCCCTCCAAGCACCATCATTACCTTTATCAGAGCAGCTTTGGAGAACAGGGGCCAGGTCATCCCTAGCACCGACTGCAGAAGAAGCCAGCAAGAGGTGAAATTCTATTCAAAGAGCAGGTAACAGCCCTATAGCCTTGCACACATACAGATGGGTACCTGCTGCTCCTCCTCACTGCTTCTGCAGGAGAAAATTGGGATCAAGCCCTGTATTATCACAAGAGCTACAAAAGACCTCCTTACTATAAGGGGAAGGATTTCATCCCACTGCATATTATAAAACCTAAATTATGTGTGTATTTTATCATTTACAAGGAAGCCACAAAACTCAAAGGTGCAGTGAATACCCTGTCATCTTCCCCACTCCCTGTTCTGAAAATGCAGCATTTCACAGCCTCTATGATCCAAGCTCCCCTTCCTCTGTCAACACAACCAGAGTTCATTGAGGATCACTATGATAACAGACTTGTATAAGCTATATACTTTGGCCTCTGCCTGCCATTAATCCCTGCTGGGATGGCTGGTATTACTCAGCTCAGTTCTGCCTCAACATAAAAAAGTAACTACAGCCTTGCAGCAGCTGTACAATAGAATTGTACAGCACTAAGCACCTCTTGTTCTTTTGTAACATTTTACCACTTTTTTAGCCTTTCAAAATCTTAAAAAACAAAACAAAAAAAGTCCCTTTTCCATGAGAAAAATGAAAAGCAACTCCATTTTCTATGTAAAACAATAACAAAAAAGTAAACTGCCAGTGAGCAGGAAAATGCAGGAAAAAGCTTTAGAAGTGGCTGAACAGCCCACTCACACTTTAATGGATGGGTAGAAATTTGCTGCTCCATTAGAGAACGAACAAATTCTGCTCAGGAGCATAAAGCAGATTTGATCTCTCAGTTCACATTTCATGCTTGCAGCTGGAGACAGTGTTAGTGTCTGACATTCTTCTCAAATGTGCATGGTGTGTTCAGCTGCTGAGGACAAAGAACTCTCTATGACCACTTCCATTACAGCAGATATGACCAAACACAGGCCTCACATGGCAATTTCTTGGTATTTGATGTTTCCAGTCCTTGGCCAAATGAAATACATTTAACATGAGATTTGTCTCTTAAAAGCTGTTGCCCCAAGTGAGCAGTGTGTCATGGTCTCGAGGGCCACCCACATCTTGGACAATCACATGAGCATGTCTCTCTGTCACAAGCCAATCCTGCCACTGCTGAACACCACTCCAGACATCTTCAGACAACCTCTGCAACCACAGCCTTGGAGAATACAGGGCTTCAGCAGAGTACCAGCTCTCTAGGAACCCCCATAGATGCCTCGTTCAGCTCTCAATCCTGATGTAATGGCTAAAAGACCAGGAACTGTCTGGTTCAGTTTCCAGTTTATGTCACAAGACCACTGTATGTATGGGCATGCAGTGTGCAGCTTTGAGGCAAAATACACCATTCCCTGCCCTCCTTCCCCTGCAAAAAATGGACTTATAAAAGATGCCATCCCATGCTGCCCCTGGTGTGAAAGACTTTACAATGGACTATTCATCAAGCAATCTTTTCTCCTTTTACTCAATTATTAAAGACTGTGACTTAGACAACTGCACTGCACAGGCTTCCAGCACCACTTGTTACCCCCCAACCACTTTAATCATACTTTTGTGCTGATTCCTCTCTCCTCCAAATTACTTGGGAATTTTCCACATGCATATTGAATACTTTAGAGAAAATAAGGCAAGAAATCTGCTATATGTAAGTTTTGTTCAGAGAATTGGTCAAATTAGGGGAGATATTGCATTCGTGTAATAGGATGGACATTCAGTAAACTTGGGTTTTCATGCACACTGCTCACAACTGTCTGGGGCTGAGGCAGGTCAAATGAGACTCCCTTAGAGTCATCTTCTGATTATACAGTCCCTGAGAATCTGATTTAGCTTTGAGTTCCTCCAGTCAAGTTATTCCAGTGGGTGTGCAAACCAGTGACAGACAGAGAACCAAATGCTACTTTGATTGAACAAAGTAAATAACATCAGTAGTTTGAGTCTAACAAGTCTAAACTTGCAACAGTTTGAGAGATATTAATTTTAAACAACATACAAAGTGAAAGTCGTAACAAAATCACACAGAACAGAAATTTCTCTATATTAAGATTTAACCTTCTGCCTAAGCTCTTTCACCAAAAAAAGGTTAAATAATCCTCTTTAAGAAGCCTTTAATGCCAAATTACACACCAACCAGTACCTACAAACACTAACAGAGCTACTAAAAAAGGCAAGTTCAGATGTATCTGGATTAAATGCTGTCTGAAGCAAAGTAAGATTAGCTTGACAGCTCTAACAGAATATTGAATGCAATTCCACAGTGCTCCAAGTTGCTCTCTCCACCTGCTCTATGGCAGGGATCAATTCTTTACATGCTCAGGTAAAAAAAAATGCAAACCAAACAAACCCGAGAAAATACCAAACAACAACAAAAATATCCCCACTACCACAAAAAAAAAAAAAACCCAACCAACCAAACAAACAAAAAAACAAAAAACAAAAACAAACAAACAAAACCAACAAAACAAAACAAAAAACCCAACAAAAAAACACCAAAAAAAACCCCAAAACAAACAAACAAAAAAAAAAACCCCCAAACCATAGTAAGTAAAATTCTACTTAAAGAATTTGGAACTGTGCCTGAAAAAAAGTCCACCCCAAAATACAAAGAAGTCTTTAAGTAAAACTAGTCTTATAACACCGATTTTTATTCAAGATGGACTGAAGATAAATACTTACTATTACTTCACTCAGTTTGAAAACAGAAAAAATATTCTTCTTTTTCAGTATTAACTATTTTAAAATGAGCTGCTCCAGCTTATTTCAAGTCACATAAATTTGAAGGCAACTGAATATGTTTATCATTTTTATGTGTATGTATCCATACACAGTATTGTATATATAAACCATGTGTATACATATTTTGCTGCCACCTTGTGAACTGTCTCTGAATAGGGAGGTCTAGTTCACACAGACTCAATTCTGCCACCTTTATTCACATTGAGCTCAACTGACTTTTATTACAGATACTTTTAAAATGGGGACTTAATGTGACAAAGGATGCTTAGTGCAAGAAAAAGTGCTTAGTGCAGAAAAATTTAAAAGACTGAATAAAACAGCTGAGTCGTCCACAATTTCCGTATGCTTTTATGTCATAATTTATTACCACAATTATTATGGAAAATATAACTAAATTCTTTCTGATAAAAATATTGCAGCTTTGCATCCAAGTTGTATGGCTGTCTTCAAAACAGAATAAGCTGGTGTCTGTAAAAAGAATAAAAGATTAAATACATCTACTGAAGTGCTTTGCTTGAATCAGATTGTGACAAGGAATGGTAAGCACTATTAAAAAGAAATCAAAGTAAAAACACATGCATGCCAAGAAAACCCCACCTGTAGTTGCAGTCTAATATATCCTAGAGAAAACTAAATTAAAATTTATTAACTTTTCAGAATACTTCAATTTCTCCACAAATGTAAGCCAAGAGAAAAAATAGGAGAGAAGTCACACATTCTCCATAGAGTATCCAAGGGAGCACAGAATTTAGTTCAGTATTTCACACTTCCTAATAAGATGATAACACTTATTAGCCTGACTTCAAAAACATTTAATTTAAACTGAAAATAAAAGAAAATCTAAAAATTTGCAGAGGACACCTCTTAGGAAAAAAATCAAAACACTTTAACACTTGACATTAATTTCAATAGAGTCAGTTCTGTTCTAGAAAAATGAAAGTTCTAACATGAAGGAGATTCTTACATGTATCTTTGGGAAGGAGTATCAGAGCCTTATTTTCTCCTTCTCAAAGAACCATATCTCTAAGTAAGGAAGGTAAGAGCAGCACATCAACATGCTCACTGACAGCATCAATTGGTCAACATTCTACTCACAGCTTCTGCATCGTGCTCAAGCCCAATGTCGTGGTGCTCCTGCTCCTCATCCCGGAATTGCTTTATTACCTTTAAAAACAGCAGTTACTGAGCCTACTTTACAGAGAAATCAGGGCAGCCAGTACACAAAACTAGATGCTATTGTCCACTGTGTGCACCACAGCAAGCCAGGGTCTCTTAAAAACTTCTCAAAGATATGAACCTCCAGTTCAGCAAGAAGGGAATTATTGACAGCATTCCCCTAACCTGAAGTTCTTCTAGTGGTCTCCAAAGAAGTCTTTAAGTTCAGGTTGCTGTTTAATTAATATATTTCTATCTTTTTCACTGTTTCAAAAAACTCTACAGTCATGGTAACTTCTAACACTGACTAGTTTCTCACCTCCACATTATTCTGACAATTTGAATACAGGAATTAAAGTCTCTGCCTTGCCAATCAGTAAGGGTGTAAACCAACCAGGCTTTTGTCCATTCTAGCCTACTCCAAAGAACAATTGTCTTGTAATTTTTCAGCCAGGACAAGAAGGTTCAGAGGATTTTCTCCTCAGATGCCTGCAGATGACCAGGATTGCTTAATGGAGAGCTCAGCACTCACAGACACTCGGGCATTGTCTCTGCCTAACAGGCTTGCATTGCTTTTGGTGTCCTTGCTAGCTCTCCTCATACTGGCACTGTGAATAAACTCACTGCCTGGATTTTTCTATTTTGTGCCACCTCTATCTATTTGATTACATCACTATCTTCAGGGGTGATATTTCTCTGGTGCATCTCAGCACAACCCTGGTTACTTCAGATACAATTTCTGCAACAATAGGATACATTGGAATAATCAGACTTTGCTACATGTTACATTATGCACAATTGAACACACTGGTAGCCAGCAAGGCTCAAAATGAACCAGTTCCACATGCTGTCTGTAGAAACAGCTCCATCTCCCACAACCACCTTACACAAATGTGTCCCAATTTGATACCTAAAATGCTTGGGAAATTATTTTCTCATAGAGCTGACAAACATCAGCTCCTTGCACACTCTGAGAACATCCAGGACTAGCACATGAACAAGGTGCTGGCTGGCAGCAGTGCCAGGAGGGCAAACCCCACCCTGGGGAGTATCAAACACAGCATGGGCAGAGGGGCTGGAGAAGGGGTCATCTCGAGCTCACCCTGAGCACTGTGTGCAGCTCTGGGCCCTACAGCTTAAGGAGCATGTGAAGGTAGTTGAATGCCTTCAGAGAAGGGCAACACAGCTACTGTGCAATCAATATTTCCTCCTTTTGTTTCCCTCTAGACCCTTCTTTTCAATTAAAATTAATCAAACTTAAAGCATAATTCTTCCACTTCCACTTCCACTGCATTACTGAAAGCATGCTGAAGATAATTCATCATATGTATTAATTTTGGTGCTTGATCAATTTAGTGCTGCTGAAGGATAAAGCATCCTTTTATTTCAATAGTTTCTGTTGACTTCAGCATTCTAAGTGACAGAACAAAAAGATTCACTGTAAATTCTAAAAGCATATTATTTTAAAAGACTAAATCACATTGGATAATTCAATCAATGTGCTAAAACTAAGTCATAGTTAAATACCTGCAATAGTTCTTTGTACTTTTCTGGATCCTCTTCTATTAGAGTTCGGATCTGGTTGTTGTAGTGCTCTGATATACTCTCCTCCACAGCCACTGTGCAAGCCATTGCACCCTTCCTTCCAAGTAAAGCACTGCCAGCCCCTGGGATTGGGGTACCAGATACATGAATACAGTGAAATCTGATGCAAAAGAAATAATTTAACACAATTGAAGACTTCACAAAACAACAGTAATTATATGAACTCACCTAAAACAAAACCTGCTACATTCCAGAAAGGCAGTAGAACAGTAGGTCGAACTCTATATGCAACCATGAGCTCATTGAACTTTTTCAGGTGGTCTTTTTCTTGATTCCACATTTGCTGCAAAAGAGCCAGGTCACAGAGAAGCATAAAACCACAAGAGGTAAACATTTCTAATAAAATTAATAAAAACAAGAACAGGTCAGGCCACATATGATGTGATAGCTGGGGCAATACTGTTACACCACAGAGAAGAAATGGTGCAGAAAGGCAGGTGCAGATCCTTATAAAAAGGACAGACGAGGATAGTTATAAGAAGGTAACATAGAAACATTTGCAAAATAGGACAACACCACAGTAACTGTAGCATTGGTAACTCGCTTACCGAGTACTCCCACCACTGTTTATAAATCCGCACGTTTGAAAGTGCTTAGGAAGAGCTGGACAATAATCCTGCCATGAATGCTACGATGTTCCAGCATCACCCGGCCGCTGTTAGTCAAATTCAAATTAACCAGAACCACGGGGATCGCTCACCTGGATGATGGGCCCCACGCTGGACCTGCCCAGCACGGCCATTTGCCCCGCATAGATGCGGTTCGCCCCGTACTCCCCCGCATGGTCCACGCGGATGATGCGGTCTATGACGGGCTTGTTGAGGCCCTCCTGCGCCAGCCGCGTGCTGCACAGCCTGAGGGAAGCCCCCCCGCCGGGCACAGGCCGCAGACCTGTCAGAGACACAAAGGTGACGCGAGCTCCGCCGCCGCCCGCTCCCCGTCCGGGACGGGCAGGTGCACGCTCCCACCCGCGGAGCCGAACTGCCTGAGGCCGCCCCGGGCGGCGGCGCAGAGGCCTGAGAGGCAGGCAGGGAGCAGAGCCGAGCCCGTACCCGGCCCGCAGCGGAAGGGCCGGCGCTTCAAGAGTGAGCACCGCACAGCCGGAGCTGCGGCCGCCGCCATCGCGCTGGGCTTACGTCATCACCGCGCGCCGCCATTCCGCCATTCCGATTGGCCCCGCGCCGCCGCCGCACTGGACAGCGCGACTGTCAATCAAAGCCCGCGTCCCGGTTGCCATGGGAACGAGGGCGGCCCCTGGCGGGCGCGGCGGGAAGCGCAGCGGGAGCGCTGAGGGCGCGGCCCCCTCAGCCACAGAGCGAGCGGCGGGAGGCGGTGGGGTAAAAAAATACCGTTTATTGGTCATTTCTTTCAAATGAGCACAGAAAACATTCCTAAACATTACATAAAAAGGATAGTGTCTTACATTAGCTAAGAGGGGACTAATGCACATTTCAAACAATAAACGTAGTTTTGTACAGAAAATCCCTAACCACAATCGTTAAATAAAGAACTGCATTAGTGGCCTACAGGGACACACTGTAGGTTCTCTGAGACACATGGGCCCAGCGGTTGAGGTAAGAGAGGAGATGTGAAATTAAGGGGTACTGACACACAGTGTTGCCAACCAATAATTTAACTGAAATATACACATTTTAGAACACATAGAACAGTAGTCAAGATTTTCATACAAGAATAAAACACAAATAATAATGACTTAAAACATTAAAAAAAAAAAACAAACAACAAGAAAGGGCCCTCCACAGCAGCAAGGCTGGTGCCCCAGCAGTGCTGTGCCTGCTGGCTTCTTCCTACTCCCAGTGTTTATTCAAAGCTCTTTTTTTATCAGCTTGTTTTCTCTGAACCATTTTGTGACCAGTTATCTGTGTTCAACTGCTCTTGCTGCTTCAGAGCAGCACAGATAGCAAACCCTCACCTCTAAAAGTATTTTAAAAACTGGTTTCAAACCCATTCCGTATTTTCTTTTCCTATGCACTATTTCAAAATACTTCCATACATACTTCTTTTTTAAAACCAAAGCAAAAGAAAGGCATTGAAAACATGTAAAACCATACCTTTCCCCTCTAATGTGATTCTTATAGCATAATTTGTAAAAACAGTACAAAAGAGTTTCAGTTCTGATCATATTTTACCCAAACTCCCTGAAAAAATAGGGATGTAACAAATCCCAACAACCCTGAAGCTGTATCAGCATTAAAGTATCCTTTTTTGAACAGCTCTAACGCAGTATAAATCAGCTGAATTTCCAAGTTTTGGAAACCTTAAGCACCACTAGCTTAATCAAGAAAGGTTCAGACCACTTAGACCATAGTCCCAGGGTGCCAGTCAGCTTCTCAGTTTTTAGAAGCTGCAAATGCTTCTGCAGTTATCTTGTTGTTCTGGGAGTTTCAGGAAGTCAAGTTCTTTTGGCTTGCGTGGTTTTCAAGGGTACCTCTGAGCTTCTGCTATCTTTCTGATAAGGAACATCTTGTCACGGCTCTCCTGGAAAGACAGAATAACAAGTATGCTCCACATGAACAGTGTTAATACAAGTAATTTACAACAGTTTCTTTCTTCATTAGAAATAGGTGCACTCACCACACTGTACTCCCACAGCACTCTCTCAACTGCCTGAACAATTTCAAGTTTACAATGGCCTTGATTTCATTTATCTCACCTCATTGTCACACATTAACAGCTCTGCATTGAGCCTAGTAAAAACATCTCACACGCATCAAAATTTAAAACCATGCTTCCAGGAAGTTGAACAGGAGCAAGCAAATGAAAATAAGCATGGAAGAATTTTAAGATTGGCAGCTGATTTGTGAACTCATCAAAAAGCAGGAAGGCTTTTGTTCCTAAATGCCTCACTCCTCAAAAATGTCCCCCAGTAGTATTTTTCTGCACACAGGTTGTTAAATGCCATATCTAAAAGAAACACATATCAAGAAATGGGCTATTTCATAAGAAAGTGAGAAGTCTCACTACTGAGGCTGAGTTCTGACTCCAGCAGTTTGTCAGATCCCAGCTTACGAATGCTGCCAAACCTGGAAGTGGCTTTTGATGGCCACAAAGCAGCATTTCTGCACTGGCACCCTTCTCCAAAGGGCTCATCAGTAGTGAATTGTTCCACTTGCAGTACCTGCTCAAGCAGTTCTGGGCCTACACTCAAGAACAAGACCAGGAAAGATGCAGTAGAAATACAGCCTGGAAGGAAGGGTAGAGAGTTGGGTGCCTGTTTCTGAGAGCAGAGAAGGAAACAGAAGTGGAGGTTGTGCAAGATGGTGAAGGAGACAGGAAACACGGGATTCAGGTTCTTCTTTGGCAGAAAACATGCAGGTAAGTGGATTTAAACAAGGCAACTGATGAAAAACAGGGACACAGCTTCTCGGGGCAGATCTCCTGTATGTGTGTTGCCTGATACAACCAGACCTTCTTGCAGTTGCAGCTGGTACCCAAGAAAATCAACTCCACTGAGAAATACCACAATGCTTTGGTTATTTTTCCTGGGTAATTTGTAAAACATTCTTTGCTGCCTGTAGCAAACACAAAATATTCAGGAGACTATGAAAACCAATATTCCCGTGCATGCCTCATGTCTGTACCCCTGAAGTTCTCTGCATTGTGTCAGTAAAGTGTTGGGTGAGATCTTACCAAAACCAGTTGTTCTCTCAGCTGTTCAACCACTCGTTTGTGGGCTCGAGCCAAGGCAATAACATAGAACATAACAATGCTGTAAACAACAAGCAAAAAGGGAAGACTTGAGATTTCCAATGTACATAATAAGAAGGTTCAGGACAACGTATAAACAAATGGAAGGGCTACAGAAGAAAGGGCTAGGTGGAGTCCAAAATAAGCCACATGTTTTTTCAAGCATAGAAGTTTTAGAAAACATCAGGTAATAAGGCTCCAAAATTTGCTAGCAGTTTAGTTAAACTGAAATGCAAAAAAACCTCCATTTAAACTTAAGGAAAAAAAACCCTTTTTATTGGAAGACTGACCAGACATTGGAAGAGTGTTGTGGAGTCCCTATATCTTTGGAGATATTAAAAATCTAACTGGGTATAGTTCCTGCTCTACTTGACCTTGTTTTGAAAAGAAGAGCTGGGTTAGATTCTCTCTACAGATGACATCCAACCTTAAAAATTATATGATTCTACATTGAATTTCTTCTTACAGAGTGACTGTTTGGAGAGTTTTGTTTTTTCAGACTAGGGTTTGTAGATAGGAATTGTGATCACAAGGCTTACAGTACTAATTTGCAGAGGACTCACAGTTAACATTTTTGAGGACACTGTTGAATATGGGATGTGCAAGAGGAAATGGAACAAAACTGATGAGTGTGAACACATGGGCAAAGGCATAAGGGCTGAGGATTCATATGGGTTTTGATGCTTTTGACTGCAAATGGAAAATCTGGTCTAATGGATGCTTGGTATGAGTTCAGTAAGCAAAGAAATGAAGCTGTTTAAATGAATCAAATCTCCACAGTACTCACCAAAGGATCACAAAAAAAGGCACTGCAAAGGCTTCTGATGCTATGCCAAAAAAGATCTGCTGCAGACCTGTTGGAAACTGAAGAATTGTATTTGGAATAACTTCCCACGAAGTTCTAAAATTTCTGAACAGCCCACATGCCTTGGAAGAGGGGATACTGTCAAAGAAGCAGAATAGAAAGACGTTACACCAAAACGTAAAGATAAAATAATCCAGCCCAATCCAAGCACCCGTTTAGTGATGCAGTAAGTGTCCTATTTGTCTGTAAAACTAATTCTTGTTTATATGAACTAAGTTATAAGTTTATGTGTTACACCCTATATATTTTATTCCATTAATCATTCTAAAGTTGTGTGTCTGCTTTTACAGAACTGACCTTAGAATAAATGTCAACTTCACAGAACTTAAAATTGTCACTTACTATGCTATGCTGACTCCCAGAGGGACAAAAGCCAAGAGGAGTCCAATCAACAACACCACCAGGAAGAAAAAGTTGGAGCTTGATGCCCTTATAGGCCTCGCTGCAGGTTTGCGTGTGTGTATCAAAACAATCTGAAGAGGGAAGGTGAGTAAAACTGTTACCAGCACATCCATATGGATACACACCCAAATTTACTTCCCCCAGCAACTGATCTTCCATTCTCAAACATGCCATCAGCTACCACACAAACACCTCCTTTGATGTGCATGGCCTGAGAAGCACTAAGACAAGATTGCCTCACATTTTGATATAAGTCAATGTCTCCTAATTTGTGTAAGAATTTGATCCAGAGGACCTCACTTGCACAGTGTGGACACAGCCATTTGGTGTATGATCCATGGCACTGCCCTTGGCTTTGTTCTGCCACATCTTCCCTGGATACATCCCCTCCTGCAAGACCTAAAGTATCTGCAAGAATTGGCTGCACAGAAGGAGCTGTGTGGTCACTGAGCAAAACTTCAGAGAGTGAGAAATCACACAAACATCCAACCCAGCTTGGATTTTCCATTTTGCTCCCAAATTTTTAGCAGTTTTGCAAAATTTTGTCCAATTCTAAGCTGTGTTACTAGTAAATAGATTACTGCAGGGAAGTGTTATTAAACTAGCTTTGTTACATAAAATGCTTTTCTTTAAAAAAAAGACAAATAATTTGAGAAGTAGTAATTGTAATGTGACTTTGCTTGATATCAAAGCAAAATTCTATCTTCTGTTAAAAGCACAAAACCAAACTGAGAATGGAATATCATTGGCTCATTCCATCCACTGCATCCACAGGTGGTTTTAGAGTTTTTTGCTGGTTTTAGATCATCTGCATATCTATATTCCTGCATTACAAAAACCACAGAGATGTACTCAGTCCTTTATCAACCACATGCCTTCATTACCTTTTTAACATAGAAAATGATGAAGTATTTTATCGTTGCTATTGCAGGGAGGAGTGGTGAAAAGAAGGTTCCAATCCAGCAAATAGTCTGCCCATAAATGATTTCCAGGACATTGTCAGAAATTTCAAATTCCTTATGTCCAAACCACTGAATGAGCTTGCAAGAGCAATGAGTAACTAACAACCTGAAACCAAGAATATTGTTAGTCCTAAATTGAAGTTGTGGAGTTTTACATGCATTCTAACACATTTGAAACACACCGAACTTAGCATTTAAGCATTAGACAACATAACAGAAAATGTCTGAAGAAAAAAGCTCACAAATATCAAAACATATACAGCCATCTGAATAGCCAATGGGAGCTCGAACCACCAGAAATATATTTATGCTTTATTTTAAAACCGGTAATTTGGTTAGAAATATGGAGAATTTAAAGCAGAAAAAAGAAAATGTGTTTCATATATCATTTGTAAAAATATGTTTAAAAAGCAGAGATACATACTTTCTGGGGAAGTCCACAAACAGGGCCACAGCAAGAATTACAATAAAATCAAATATCATCAGTTTGTACATTTCCTGCCCAACATCAGATTCCCAGCACTATAAAAACAAGTCAAGAAAAACAAGATTAGCAGTCTAAATAAACAAGTGAAAACTCTGTCTATCAGTAAAGCAATAACAGTCTCAGTTAACAGCATGAAATTCAAATGCTATTAACTCAAATTTCTAAAATATTCAAGTGTTTCAAAGTTCCCGTGCCAAGCTTTTCACTTTTTTTTTTTTTTTTTTGATTTTGGGGTTTTTCTGTGAAGTGGGGCAGGAGGGTGTGGTTGGGTGTGTTTGGTTTGGGTGACTGGGGTTTTTTGGTTTTTTTTGTTGTTGTTGTATTTAATTTGGTTTTGGTTTTTTTTTTTCTTTTGAGGAAAACCCATTTGCCTTCATGCTGCAAAAGGCAGTAGCACAATGTCTCCAAAACACAGCTACCTCAGACAATCCTCATGGTGGACAGAAAGTCTGTGCTAAGGAATCATCTGCCATTGCATTAATTCTAATCAGAGTTTTACACAAACAAAGGATATATGTGTAACAACTGTGCTGGTTTTCACTGAGCAGTGAGAATCAACACCAGGTATAGCATGAACAGAACCCCAGGGCTGATACTGAACACCTCTAGACAAGCAACTCTCATGGAAAACAAATCTCTGTTCACAAGCTCAGATGATTAAAGACCAAGATAAATCTACTTACAGGATAGAGTTTGTAATTGTATCCACAGGGTTCACACTTGTCACTACCACAGTTGGAGATCTGACTCCACAGTGAGAACAAGAGAACGCCAATATTGGCCAACCGCAAGAAGACACACCTGGAAGAAAGGCAAAACTCCAAACATGCCAAACATGCCAAAAAATAGCCATGTTAACACCTGGCTCACCTTGTACACGAGTCCAAAGAAGCCTTAAAATAGAAAAGGGTCACGCAGACCTTTAACAAGCCAGCCAGCCAGATAATAAACACATTTCTTTCCTTAGCAGTAAGTTAAAATTGCTTTTCAACTTCCCAGCTTTAGGCTACAGTCCCTTGTTTCTTTTCTCAGGACGGTTTCTAGATTAGTCATTTCAGCTGCAGATCTTGATGCTGCAATGGGTTGCAATTCCCTAAGGTACAGTTCTGTGTACAGTATTTCCATTTCATGTAGCTTCAGGCCTTCTGAGGCACTTGGCCAAATCAGAAATACAACGCATGGACTTGCAAAGTTCAGGTGTTTCAATCCAGATCTTACTGCCTTAAGCTGCCAAACGCCAGCTCTTACACTGAAGGATCTTTTACCTCAAAACTTTTAACTTCTGCCTTGAGCAAAGCTGTGCTTCAGTCACTGCTGTACACACAGTGTTGCTCATTCAGGGAACTGCTGCATGCAAAGCAGTGAATCCACAGCTCAGCAGCCACAAGTTCTCTACTGACTTTTCAAGTTGAAGATATCCAGACCACACAGCTAAATAGGACCAAGAGAAAAACTTGGACACTGAGATGATTGCACTGCACTGTCATCAAAACAGATTGTTCCCAGATTTAAAGTTTCCAACTAAACATTGGCCAAACAATGCCTCCTTGGTTTCCAGTGCCAACCTCTCTGCTTCTTGATGTTTCAATGTTTACAATACATATAGCCTACCAGGAACAAGTTGTTGAAACATCCAAGGCAGCAATAAAAACATATTTACCTCAAGAGTGTCAGCTTGATTTCAAAGGCTGGTGTATACTCTTCAAATCTAATCAGAAATGAGAAGCTCAGAGGACCAATGAAGTTGGCCAGTGTGATCACTATGGAAGGCAAATACTGCACTAAGAGATTCGCTGGGGAGTCAGCATTGTCAGCGTTCTGCAGAAGAAGAGATGAGAGAAACATAATGCCCAGAGCAGCACACCTTCCTGAGTGTGCTGTCTCCAACTACACACCAACCTGCCTTGTCCAGCACCTTTTACTCTGCCTTCATCGTCCACTGACATTTGCACCAGGCAACAGGAATCAACACCAGGTATAACATGAATGGCAAACCCAGGGCTGATTCTGAATACCTCTAGACAAGCAAGTTTCACAGAAAACAAATCTTTATTCTTTATACAAGCCTGATCATTGCTCTCTCTGCAGTTTGCTGCTACACACCCTTGTTTTCTCCTGCTCTCTTTACCAGGAACTCCCTCCCCTTCCAGGTGAGAACAATTCTGTGCTTCCTCAAAGCTTCTGTTTACAGAGGTTCAGCTCACCAAGGTTTTTTTCCGACTGTTGCTAACCAGCACTAAGGCTATCAGGTTCTACAACTATTCCAAGTGCAGACACTTTTCAATTTATTCTTACTGATGCCAAGCAGCTCCCCTGACTTTCCTACCATCCTGACAAGCTCCTCTAACTGCTCATTAAGACAAGGACAAGATATCAACCCTTCTACTTAAAGCCCACAGCAAGTGAAGTTGCTCTTGAAGTTATTCAGTGTTGTGTAGTCCTCTTCTCTGCCCTCAAATAATACCTTTGACACAAACTCATTTAGCCCCCATGTCCTGCTTCTGTCTGTGCAATCCTGGCAGTTTACAGAAGTTCAGAGTTAGGTCCACCATGAGCACAACTTCCCTTGTGAACAGCTAAGTCCATCACACCAGCAACTTATACAGTGGAGAGAAAAATTGTGGTCCCTGTTTCTACCAGACAAATCAAACCCTGGGGTCCTACAGAGAAGTCAATTACTTTTGTAAAGGTGTCACAACCAGAAGCTTGTCTGCTTTGTTCTGCTTCTGAACCACTCTTTCCATCTGCTTGTCCTGCTGGTGGTGAAACTCGCCCAATCTGATTCTTTCTGCTTGTGACGCAAGAACCTTTGCTTCTGAAAACTGCCCTGTGTTCAAAGCCTTCCTGTTTCCCCATACAGAGGTAAATCAAGCCACAAAACAGATCACAATCTTCACTCTGCCTTCCCCTGAAGTGCATTTTTGCAGTTGACAATGAACCAGATCATGTGAAACTGATCATGATGAAGTTTGATTTAAGCAGCTCAGTTCTCCCAGCCAGTTCACTGCCCAGACCCAGCAGATCACAGTGAGCTGAGCATAGTTACAAGGGAAGGGTAGTGAGGGCTGCTCTTCTTGTCAGCTCCAAGGCAATCAACACTGAAGCCTCTGCAGCAACGGGAGACATTACTGGGGAGGCTTTTTTGGCCTGCTCTCATCTACTAAAAAAAATTGTACGTCTGTAGAAAGCATTTTCAGATGCCTGCATGAAAGGTGCTATATTAAGATACTTGACTCTTTCACAATAGTTCCTCTTGCTGTAATCACCAGCTTTCACCAAATCTGTCCTAGTGTCATTTCTTATACTCACATTGGAGTTTTCTTGAGAGAAGACAGTTACTCCATAAATAGAGTAAAAGCATCCTGATAAAATTGCAATGACAATTATATTTATAAATACTCTCAGAGAGTAGATGCATATCTTTTCTTTCATTGTCCTCTCAGCTATTTTTTGCTTCAGTTTTTCCTCCTGCAAGTCTGTCTACAAAGAAAAGAAAAAAGAGATGTAGTTTTTTGGTGCAGCATACAACACTTAACACCATGTCTTCTACCCCTGAGAAGTGCAAATGTGTAGCCTTTTCTAGGAGAGTCACACCAGCTCCTGCCCAAGCACACAGAGCTGAGTGTCTTTTATTTGACAAAAGAGGTCCATGCAGGAATGGAAGCCCTTGGGTGCTCAGCCTCCTCAAGCTGAGGGTTCGGTAGCCAAAGAAAAGTGTCCTGCAATCCTCTTGTCTCTACTGTACCAATACCACATTTCCTTGAGGATAGACAGTTTGCCTGTTTGTTGAGAGACTGATAACAGCTTGATACTAAACTCTGAAATGGGTAAACCAGTCACTCATCTCATTATTTCTGCAGGTAACTAGCCCTCACCAATATGGCTCAAAATTCCTTCTACTCTGTGAAGGAAAATTGGGGGATGGCACTGAAAGACGGAAATACAGTCTTGAGCAGCTTGTCATGTAAACTTGGTGTATTTCATCTTGACTGATATGAAAATACAGTATCTCCTGTGAAGACAATTTAACCTGGGCAAACCCACATAACACCCATATGAGTGTATTTTCTGATGGCTTATGTCCATCAAACAGTAATATTAAGGGGCTAGTTCTTCTAAGATGTGTGTTCTGGAGGCAAAAGTGTAGCAAGTGAAGGAGATTCTGATTCTATGGTGAAAAAAGATGAATTTCACTGGTGCAGAAAGCAACTCACTGTAATTTATGAAATCTGTAATTACCACTTTGTGGTTTGAAGTGGAAGCATCTCCTCAAAGGTAATTTTTTCACAGAAATCTCTGTTTTCAGAGAGCAAAAAGAAGGTCCTTGTTTTACCAAAAGAGCCTTTCAGACTCTTTTCAGAGCTTTATGATTCGGGAAATCTATAGCTGCATCAGCATTTTGTATGTGCATGTGTGCCAAAGACGCCTAGTGAAAATCTTTCTGTATCTTCTTACTGCAACAATAATCTCAAACAGTACAAAGAGCACCATCTGGATTTTATTTCCCCCCAAACTACTGCTTACTGCACTGCATGTTTAAACCCCAGGACACTCAAACTAATCCCTGCAGGGTTTTGCCTACAGCTGGGACAGCTTTTCCTGTTGGACTATGCAGAACTAACACAGGAAGCAGGACTGGAGTGTGAGGAAGAGGCAGATAAGACAAGCTAACAGGCTGGCGTGGGTCCCCAGTGCATGGGGGAAGGGCCAACAACATCCATGCCAATTCTTCTCACGTTGCACCACTACTCCAGCTACCTAGAAAGCATGCAAGAGGATGTGGGCTGTACCCCCAAAACGAGGTACTTCAATCCTTCCAAACTTTATTTCCTTATCTGCAAAATTACACACATCTCTCTTTTTTTAGCCATCTAAGCTGTATGAAATCACAAAAAGACAGAAGTTACTCACCTGCAGCTCGTATTGCAAGCTGCGATATTTCAGCCGGGCTGCATTTGGATCTGTGATGCAGAAGTCCCAGCCTGCAAAGACTTTGTTACAGTAACTCTGAAACGGGTCTGCATCATGCACTAAATTGTGCTTAAAGCCTTCCACAGACCTAGAGAAAAATTAAGGAGAAGATGTATTTTATACACAGGAAAAACACACACAAGAAATCTGGCTGATCAAAGACTAAATGACCCTCTCTATGAGCAAACTGTCACCTTTGCTTAGTACCAGCCAGTGTCTAGGACACTTTTGGTGTGAGATTCTGCAGCAGCTGACCCTGACTGATACAGGTTATTCCCACCTGCACTTCAACACAGTCACACTTTCTCACGTCACCCAGACACAGCAAAGGAAGCTGAGATGGCACAAATAAAACTCAACCAAAAAAACCTAAAGAAAATCTTCCAACAAATTCAGTATAGTTGAGGGGCTTTTACTTATAGACATGCACACATATGAAAAACTGATACTTCAAATTGTTTTCTTTTTCCCAAGCACACCAAAGGCTACTGTGGCGCTGCATCCTTAAGCAAAAGACTCCCCATTTCCACATGGACAGCTCTAGAACACAGTATGTCCCCTTCAAGCAGGAATACAATGTAAACTGTGCAACAAGTACCAGTAAATAAACAACACCACCATCTTTACCTCTTTATTATCCAGAGGAAACTTAAGGCAAGATAGGCAAATGTAGCCAGCAGGTATGCAAGTGGCAAGTTGTACCTCATCATACTGATCCATACAGCATCTATTGAGTAATAGCCATAAAACAAACTTGTCACTTCAAGGAATCCCTGTGAAAATGAAGTTGAAATAGAATTTGTAACAGCAGCAACAACTGTCTCATTAAATTCAACCTGGCATTAAGCAATTGTTTTGTAAATTTAAAATTAGGGCCCCCAGCAAGCTTCAAGTCTAAATACTGCCATTGCCTCCACCAAATTGTAATGCAGGCACTGTGTGCTTAAAATCCCTCCCCTCTCCAGTCAAAGAGCTGTAGGACACAGACACTGGGACCCTACACAGACAGCACAATAGGCAGTGTGCTCCAGAATAATAAGGGACAGCAGCTGGGGAGGAGAGTCACAGGCTGCAGCACGTGACCAGCCAGGCCTTGTGGTCAGTAAAAGTCAGTTTGGAAACTGCCCTTCTCAGAGATAACAGACCCCAGTGATGCATATGCCTTCTTATTTTTTCAAAATTATCAAAGCTTCATTTCATAAGTATTTTTTTTTTTACATTTTAAATGCTATTTGAGACACTTAATTAAAAAAAAAAAACCAAACAACTAATTACTTACAGTGCCACTGAGCAAATCTTTGAGGTAAGTATAGAAGTAAACAAGTCCCTTATTACCACTAGGTTCATAAATTGTGCAGATACTCTCTGTCAAAAGAAAGGCATGAAAAGTCACTCAAATGGTAATGCCCACTAAACTGCAAGATCACGTTAATTCAAACATGTCACACTCTTATAAAAAGGCTTTCCTTTTTTTTTCTGGGAGGTGGAAAAGAAGCTGATGGGAGGGGGGAATCTTACAATAGCTGTACATAGAGACAATGTTTACCTATGTTCTTTGGAGAAAAGTAAGCAACGGTACTGTTGAATATTCCATATTTAGAAATTATGGTGGGAAGAGTAACAAAACTGAACATCAGGATAAAAATTATAAAGTTCAGCAGGACCAGAAAGCGCAGGAAGGAGAAGTAGGACTGGATGCCAGTACCAAATTTCCCTGGGAATAAAAGAAACATGTGCCAATAATTAAGATTATGAAACCATTGAAAATACAGAGAGAGCAAATTAATAAAATCAGTTTCACTGGACTGAAGAAACATTGTTAAAGCTAGTTTTAAGTACTATGGAGTTTTAGCAATATAACTGAAATGCAGGGTGGACATATTAATGATTTTTTCCAACATATTTCCTTCTACCATATCATGGATTTTACATTCAGCAATAATAAGGGAAGAAAGTAACTTCTTAAACACATGTAGTTATATCTGAAACTATGCTCACACAGGTAAAACTGCCAATAACAGAAGTAACTTTCCAGAGGAGAAATGGACATCAGACAAGAAATACCTTCTATGTTGTGAATATCATGTCGCCAAAGCACCAGGTAAGATGACAAGCCTTTGATTTCACTGAGTGCTTTTTTCAATGATTTACTGCTAGTTCTTCTCCACTTCTTCCATCTAGATAAATGTTCTGTATCAGCCTGCTGAGAGTTCCTAAGAATCCAGAAATAGTTACTGAGCACAAGAAATAATTTTTCACTCCATGTAACAGGGCTTAACAGGATGGAGCCTGCCTGCAGCCTTCAAGGGATAGCCAAAGTAACACACACAAAAACTCTCCCCATCTGATCCCGCTGGTAATGGCAACATCAACTTAATTCAAATAGGGCAAGCCCTCTCATGAAAAACACTCACCACTCTTGGAGAAAAAAAACCCCCAACAATTGACAACAATAGCTTTTTGAAAAATTTGCTGGAAAGTGCCAATTCAATGAATTTGAGAAAATATTTTTTGCCAACACCTCTGGGGATGCACTATTCTAATAACTAGCTGCAAACAAACTATGAGAATGAGCCACTGTCTGTAACTTTTAACCACTCACTTATGGATTTTCATACTATATGAATACATTTGCATTTTAACAATTGATGCCTGGTCAGCAACAGCATCAAGGAGAACTCTGAATGGCTCAGAGTTTTCATTTTATTGTTTCTTTTACGAAACCTCAAAACCAGACAAAACTTTACAGAAACATAGCTTAAAAATGGACTTGTATGCAGCAAATTCTGTTCCAGCCTCTGATGCCACTGAAGAAAGGCAGAAGTTAAATAAGTACCCATGAGGACACGGTGCTGGGGTACCAAGGTTTCAGTTTGAAAAGACTTGTACTCAACCCTTCTCATGTGCCCAAGTGATGCACTGCCATGTGTGCTCTGTGTTGCCTGTTTCCTCATCCTTCCAGCATTTTGGCAGGAAGTCAAATGAAACCTATACAAACAATCAAACAGGCAGCAGATGACCTCAGCTTTAAGAGCAAATACAGCTCCTCTCAAGAGATTTCATTCTGTGGAAACTACAGGCTGCAGTTTGCAGTGTTTCAAATTCTGCAGAACTATCTGGCCCGTGTTCAGTTTGCATTTTAAATAGAAGCGTGGGCTGCATATTCATCTGAGTTACAGAAGTTGAGTGTTCAGCTCTCAGCTTATGCCGAGCACTTTGTGCAGGCAGCTCTGCGCAAATGCAGATCACTGATCTGTAGAAGCTCCAAGAAGCCCCACCAGAATCTCTCAGTGCTAACATGTGTAAACAAGCCTGGGACACTGCAACTCCATTCCTCCCTCCAGTTCCTTTTTCTTGAAGAACTGAACTTTAGATACCCAACTTCAAGCAAAAATTCAAGGTATTGAGCACTTTCCTGCTACTGTTTCTTGTGTACAGGCTATAGAGTTAAACTCCAGGCTCAGGCTGTTTGCCACTGCTCTTACAATAGAGTAGCTCTTGTTCTATCTGGAGTACCAGACATTAATTGTACTTCCAGTTCTCTCCTGGTTCATAACTAGAACTGCAATGTACCTGATTTAAAGGTGCAGCTGCTTTCTGACAGTACAAAACCACATCCTGTGTCCTCTGTCCTCAAAGCAGCTTTCAGCCCAGCAGAGTGAGACATGAAATAACAAGCACTAAAATTCAGGCAGGGCAAGGCAAGGTCTTTGCAATCCCTCCCTCCGGGGGTTTACCACCGGGGGGCAGAAACAGCGCACAGGAAAGAGTCATTTAAAAAGGAATGGGGCGGGGGGAGAAGATAAAAAGAAGCAAAGGTCCTGGGAAGCTTCCTATCAACTGTACAGAGCCACAGCAGAGAGAGCACACGGCATTGTGTAGGAACAGCTAAGCAGACTCAAGAGCAGCAGTACTTGCATAGCAGCGAGCGGGGAAGAGGGGAGTGTTCATGCAGATAACCCACAGTGACCCTTGAAAGCACAAAACCCCGAGAAAAAAAAAGTAACAAAAAACCAAAACGGAAAACAGTGAGAAATGCGGTTTTTTACTACAGGTAATTCCCAGTTTTGACTTATTTCTTCCAATTCAACCTACTTCTACCCCAGCCAGCAACTCCCTCGTGCTAACAAAGAGCACTCGGGCACCTTCTTGTCAGAATCACATACCACAGGGTGAAACACATAGAGCCAAACTCAGTTCTGCTTCAGCTTTCCAGCGCACCTGAGTTGTGTTTNTCATTTTAAAAAAAACAAACCAAGAAAGAAAGAAGATTAACCTTATTATTCTCTTCTCCGCCATGCATTTGGGGTGCTCTCTGGCAGGGCGATGAGTCCGTTCGTCTCTCTCCTGCAGCAGCACCCGGGCCGTGGTCCCGCGGCTGCCGGCGGTGCCCAGCTGGGCCGGCCGGCGCTCCTGGGTGCCCCCACGGCGCCTCCGCGCCGACTGATAGCTGGGCAGCTGCTGCAGGAAATCCACAGGTGCGGCGCCGTACGGCTCCTCGGCGAGGACAGAGAGCCCTGCGAGGGAGACACAGGGGCTGCGGGTCGGGGGTCGCCGCACCAGGGCAGCCGGGACCCCGCAGCGCTGCGAGGGGCGAGGCGGGGGCAGCGCCGCTCCCTCCGCTCCCGTCCCGTCCCTCCATCCCCCCGCCACCTGCGGGGCCCGCCGCCGGTGCTGCCGCCCGTCCCGCGGCCTCACCGCCTCTGTCCAGCTGCCAGTCCGGCCCCGCGGCGGCCCCCAGCCCGCTCATGTCTGCGGGGAAGCCGCAGCCCCGCGCCGCTGCTGCCGTTTCCGGGCGCGGCGGGCCCGTGGGGCGGCGGCTGCAGGGAGCGGGGCTGGCGGGCGGGGTGAGGCTGCCCCGGGGCCGCCTCTCCCCGGCCCACGCCCGCCGGGGGCGCCCCCAGCCAACAGGATGGCACTTTGGGACATCAGTCTTTCTGTTCCTCTTACCCCAGACTTGTTTTCAACTTTCCGTGAAGGTACACGGCCGGGGTAAAGGCTCCTGCCACCAGCCTGCCCTCTCCACTAGAAGGGGCTCATGCGCCCCAGGTGAGGGGCTGGGGGTGTTCTGGGCATCTCTCACCAACGTGTGGCTTGGAAATAAGTTTTGTTTCAATGCCTCCCGTCAGTATTAACTGCCCGTCCTGGTGTTGGGTGCTGTAAAAACTCCGATACTTGGTCAACTCTCATTAGGTCACAAGCCCGAACTCCCAGCTTGTTCTGTGACTGGATCCAGTAACGCAGGCTGCAGTGGAAACAACACAGCTTTACTCTTGCATGTGAAAACTCGGTGTGAACTGGAGCGAGTAAAGTCAGTAGATGCTGAATCATTTTTCCCATCTGAGAGCGAGGGTGGGTTTTGTGTGAACTCGTAGTAAATGTCTCAGAGAGACTTATTTCTTGTAACATTTCTTGCCTTTTGTGTGAAAATAACAACATGTGTGACAAATAAGGAAATGAAACCTTCAGAAGTCTCAAAAGCCTTGTGGTGGGGAAAAAAAAAATTTCTAGCCTTTCTTTATTCTACTGATGTTTAAAAGACAACCAGATTTCTTAAACATTCTTCAGGCACTTTCTGCAGTAGTTTTTAAAATGAGTCAATATTAGGCTTCAGAATGCTGAATCAGACACAAATGAGCATGTACTTTGTGTTAGCTGTGTGTCATCAGCTCAGGTATTTTATTTTCACATTGTTTTGCTAGCAATAAGAGTCTATGTGGGTAATCCGCTTTCATAATAAAACCATAAAATGTTGTTGATAAAAAGAAAAGTTCTCAAAGTAATTTAGATGTACACATTTGTAATCTGTGTTACCAGCAGAGGTGAAAGGTATATCTTAAGGGGAATTGTTGTGAAATACAGAGACATGGAATTAAAGCACAGCAACTTCCTTATTGCACTGAATGACTCAAAAAAGCAAATGAAGAAACACACTCGCCTTTGTGCTGGCAGATTTGTCTTTGACAGTTGGACTAGATGATCTCAAAGGTTTCTTCCAGCCTTGATGGTTCTATGATTCCATAACTAATATGGATTTTTAGCTATTTTTGATGAGAACAAGCTGTAACTTACCTTCATCCTTCTATAAGTCACTCTGGAGGCCTATTAGCTTTTTTCCTTTCTCCTTTTCACAGATCTCCAGGATAATTTTTGCCAGGTGGGATATTTTGTATAGCAAAGGCTAATGCTGTGAGGGTGTCAGTAACAGAGCTGGACACCTCAGTGATACACATTTGCACAGGTGATTGTGGTTCCTTGGTTGAGTGCCACATTTCATGGGATTCACTTAAACAGCTCCCAGCTAATCATTCTGACAAACTCAGGGGATGGAAAATAAAACCCCTCAGCAGCATTCTTGAAAAATAATTTTGTATTGTTGAGCATTCGTGCTGAGTGTGTGATTCATGTGATGGATAAGAATGTGCATTTGTACCCACTGTTACAGGTGCCTTGAAGCCACCCAAGCATGAGGTGTCTTTGTGTGGCCCTAAATAGGAATATTTATGGGGTAAAGCTGCCCTGGGATGTCATCTGGGGTGGCAGTTTCACTTTTTATTTGTGTTTCTTTTTTTACCACAAAGAATACAAAGAGGAAAGGTGAATAATACACTTAAGGTTAATTAGACTTCTTCTGAAACTCTGTGTTCTAGAGAAGTATTGTGTTAATGATCCCATGAGAACAAATTTAAATAAAGATTGGAGGAATTGAAACAAGCTTGACTTCCCCAGGAATTTTGTGAGAACATTGTCTAATTTTTTTTTTTTTCAGTTGAGAAAGCTTTTATGATACTTGGAAATGTTTCAATGAATTGTATGGATCACAGCAATCCCAGATGGAAAAACAGGAAGACAGATATACTGAGGAGGAGAGAATGGATGATGCTCCCAGAGCACAACAGTCACATGCAGGGAATGCAGTAAGTTCCATTTGTATGATATTTGTCCAGTGTTTTTTATTCACAAAAGCAGCAGCTCTCAGTCTGTGCTGAGCATGGAAGCTGGTGCCATATTCTGTCTCCCAAGGATGCTGGAGATCAGTCTGTCACATTTAGTAACACCATCCATTTCCAGGACAATTTTTCTTTTCTTCCTAATGCCACAGCTCAAAAATGCTTCTAAGCATTCAGGGAAGTTCTGAGTGATTGCTTTAATTTTGGGAGCATCTCTTCTTTGACTACCCCAGTACCTTGTGCTGTGGCCTGTGCATCGTGCAGGCAGCTCTGGGTCAGTGCAGGGTCCTCTGCAGCCATGCCAGGAATGTTGCTTTGGGCAAAATGTAATCTTAAAGTAGCATTAGAAAACTTCACTTAAGTCTATGTAGAATGTATCTGGTGCAGGATAAACACGTTTTACTGAGTTCAGGAGCTGGAAAAGCACTAGTCATTTGGTAAAATCAGCAGTTACACCAGCATAGCTTCTGAACACAGAGCAGATTGATTTATTACCAGTTCCCTGCTGGCATTAATCCAAAGGCTGATGGGTGTTTTTCATTTGTTTGTATTTTTAGTCTTGCTGACCAGAGAAGTTATTTAGGAGTAGTTGGTAGAAGTTTTAAGATGTGGGGTTTTCTGGGGAGATAAAATACGCCAAAATGGCCTAACAAGCTATATTAACACAAAAGAAGCTAGGGGTCTATAATCTATACAGTACTAGCAAAAAGGAAAAAGGCAGTGGGCAGGCCACAGGTCTGGGACAGCAGAGCCAGTCTTTTCCTTACCCTGTTCCCTTCTTTGTCTGTGCCCACCCCAGTGGTGGCTGTTTGGCCTCTTGTTCAATTTGAGGATGCTCCTGATCCAGAGGAGGGCATTGGCTTTTGGGAAGGGCCCTGGGAACACCCTGACAGTGACTGTAACGTGCTGAGTGTGCTGGGGTATCCCTGAATCCAACTGCAGTGGAGTGAGTGAAGGTGAGGCAGGTACCCCTGCTAAGCTGCTCTGGGATAGAAATTCATGTCAGAGGCACCACCCCAACACTTTGTTGGATTCTCTGTGTTGCACCCTGCCTGGTGCTCAGCTGGAGCTTTGTCCAATCCATAGTTTTTCACACCTCTGCATGAAATGGGAAGAAGAAGGGAAAGGAGAAAGGCAAGGAAAATCAGTATCTCTGTGCCAGACTAAAGAAGTTCCTTCTGGTCCAGGCAGAGTACAGGAAGGGCTGGTATTAAACTCCCTGTCCAGGAACTGTGGATTCTGCTCACTATTAGAGTGAACTAATTTGTCACCCTTAGAAGGACCTTCCTTTAAGACAAGTAAAAATATGTGAGGGAAGATAGTTCCTTATGTCAGCTCCCCAAATGATTAATCCAGGGATAAAGGTAACGCATCCTGTGTCTGAAAACGGTTTCTCTGTGTCCTTTTATTGTGTTGGTGTTGCTATCCCAGGTCAAAAGAAAGCATGTTTAAATTCGTGGGAGAGGGAGAGTGAATGTCTTTGAACTCAAACAAAAACATAGCAACGTGTCACACGATAGATAACAGCAAAGAACTTCGCGGGGTTGTTTTTCTCTCTTGAGCTGTACGAGCAGGACCTCAGCTCCCCTCTCCGGCCGAGCGTTTCCGTGTATAGTCCGTTCGGGGGAAAGGGAAGGAAAGCAAAGCAAAGCCGGCGGTCACAGCGGGTCCCCCGACACAGGGACCGGAGGCGGCACGGGGCGGCGGGAGGGGCGGCCGGAGGGGCGGGGCGGCGGCTCCGGGCACCTGGACCGGGAGAGCGGGGCTGGGCAGCCTCTCCTGGCGGCCAGGTAGGGAGCGAGGTAAGCGGCTGTGATGGGCAGCTCCGGGGCTCTGCGGCCCGGAGAGGCTGGGCAGGGCCGGGGGCTGCAGCGGGCAGCGCTGGCGGCAGGGTCCGAGCGGGGGCTGGAGGGCGGAGCGGATTGTCCGCATACACCGGAGCGGGGGAACCACCGCAGCCCTGACAGGTGGCTGCCGCTTACAAATGGCTGCTGCTCATTTAGAATGATGGCACCGTAAGGTCGGACTACGGGCGCGTCAGGGATGTACTCGGCTTCTGCTCGCTGAAAGGTGAATAAGCGCCCAGAGCTTGGTGTCAGCCCGGCTGCACGAACGGCACCTCACAGCTTATTGCCCCATTAGTCACATCCGAGCTTCCTCTGCCTTCAGCTGGAATGGCTGGTCCCATGGGAGAGCCGGCCACACTTCCCTGAGGTCTCTAGCCAGTGTGTCACTCCTCCCTTTGAGGTGTGGCACCAGCCTGGCTGGGATCACAGCCTGGAGCGTGACATTTCCTTTTGGTGTAGGTTGCATGTTGGTCTCTGTTAGCTAGTGAATGGATGTGGCACTGTTTTTTCCAAGTAACAGGCTGTGAGGCTTTTTGTGTTACAATAGGTAATGGGAATTTGTATTAAATAGGTGCGGGA